GCATCAAATAACTGCTGACCGTGAATATTTTACTTAAAAGTCTGATTGTTTAAAAATATTTTATTTTAATAATTTTATTAATATTATTCACCAAATGTTTTAAATCTATTTTCTCTATTATATTCATTTTATGCCATAAATTACATTCTCACTAAAATTCAAATTCAAAATTCTGCAGCTTTGTTTACTCAAATTTAAATTCTCAAATTTAAATGTCTTTACTAAATCCATATCTATTGGACACACTAAAGTGTATTGTACACCTTTCAAAAGTCTGATGTCAGGTCAGTAATATTTTTGTTGCTGTTAAAGAAATTACTACTTTTATTTATCTAGGACACATTCAATTGATGAAAATGGACAATAAATTAATTTATAATGCTACAAAACATACATATATATACTAGTGCTGTGTAACGATTACAATTTGTAATCGCGATTAATTGCATGATTTTCTGCGATTAATCGCATTGTAATGAACAAAATTCGCGAATGAATTCAAAAGTAGTGTATTGTGCACTTTTTTCATTTAAAAGTACTGCTATATGAACAAAAGTGCAATAACATTTGGTTTGCAAACACTTTAAACAAATAAAGTGCTTTTTTACAGCAGTATTCCTTTTACATAGTAGCAGTTAAAATATTTCTTGTAAATCTCAACTTATAACATTATTGTAATCAAATTAAATATAAAACCAAAGCTATTTGCCACTGCCAGGGCATTCAAGTTTTTATAGAAAATATTTTATAGTTTGTTACAGAAAAACAAGTTATGCTCCGAGTCCAGAGCCTCGATCATAGCATTATAACAGGTACCTTCCAAGTAGAGACCTGCACAATCGCGAGACCCAACGCAACAGAGTGCGGCACGGGACAACACTTTATGGGCGAGTGCGGGTGTGGGCGGGTAGAGACTCGTGTGCGAGATGCGGGAGAATAAATGTGTACCCACACAAGGCAATCTTAATCTTAGGGCGTGGTTCGTTTAGCCGGCCCTGGATCGGTTGGAAGAGGTGGGCCAGAGCGCGGTTCACTTGGGCTCGGGCGCAGTACGCATGTAGTGCCAGAGCGCTGAACTTCTGATAAGTTCATAATTGCGTGAACCTTTTTTGTGCAGCAAAAGTGATAGATCTGTAAAGCAATATATTGTGAGAGGGCCGTGTGTTACCGCGTCCCAAACGACTCAAAATAATAAACCACAAAGTTAACAAAACAATGCACTCCACTGTGCTGAGCGAGAGCGTTGCTCTGCTGCCTTCACGTGCTATCGGAAACTTCCTGTTTCCCACTTACGAAGTCGTAAGCATTTCATGTGAGCGCTGCTGCAGTCTTAGGCCCACCCCAAATGCTCTCATTGAGATGCGTGATGACGCTCATCCCAAGCCAGTACTGATCAACATCCCACCCCTCCTGTGGCCCACGGTTTGTCTGTATATGTAGTCAGAGCCAGTGAGCAACGGACTTTCATAATAATAAAAAAACTGCGTTAACGCGCGATAAAATAATTGTCTGCGTTAATCAATTAATGCGTTAACTTGCCCAGCCCTAATATACAGTGGGTACGGAAAGTATTCAGACCCCCTTAAATTTTTCACTCTTTGTTATATTGCAGCCATTTGCTAAAATCATTTAAGTTAATTTTTTTTCCTCATTAATGTACACACAGCACACCATATTGACAGAAAAACACAGAATTGTTGACATTTTTGCAGATTTATTAAAAAAGAAAAACTGAAATATCACATGGTCCTAAGTATTCAGACCCTTTGCTGTGACACTCATATATTTAACTCAGGTCCTGTCCATTTCTTCTGATCATCCTTGAGATGGTTCCACACCTTCATTTGAGTCCAGCTGTGTGTGATTTACTGTATATATATATGTATATATTTAATGCTGTTATTTTGAACTTTCTATTCATCAAAGAATCCTAAAAAAGTATAATGTTTACCAAAAATATGAAATGGCAGAACTGTTTCACAGTCTGTACACACACACACACACACAATTACTTTTCAAACAAAGTCATTTGTTTTCTTTGTGTAAAAACTTTTCAAGTAGAAAAAAAACACTTAGCGCACCTTTAACAAGAAAAAGCTTTGCTTAAAGTTTTGGCCAACAAAAACGATTACTCCTGTAAGGAAATGTAGTCCATTTTATGTGTGGGGCACAACTATGTAAAATGTAAGGTTGGCTGAGCTGATGCTTGCAGAGAAATGTGAGAGTAGAGTCCAAGGCTGCAAGGCAAAACATCAGACATGAAAGTGCAGCATCTATTTAATTTAATGGTCACTGCTGGAGGGTCTGATGTAAGGTACAGAGGGATGAAGTGAATCCTGAATGAACAAAGGAAGTAGGAAAGAGCAATCCCTTAAGACTCACAGGGACCGGCCTGCTGTGTCCTTGGACAAGGCTCAGGACGGGTAACACATTACAAGCCATTTAATTAGACCTCGGGTGATGGATGTGACTGTTCACAGGAAATCAACGTATGAAACATAGATCCAGCCACTTGAATACGCTGCTCTACAACACATGACACATGCAATACAACCCGGGCTATTCCGGCGGGATTTGCTTGACATATCGACGTGTATGTGGAAGAAGTCTGGAAGGGATCGGATGACTGTCTGCGGCTCTCACATTTCCTGTTACTAAAAGCAAGCATGCGAATAAAGGCGCTTGGAAGTCGCTGAAAATGTGCGAGATGTCACACAAGCAGCAGGTGTAATTTGTGCTAATGATATTCCTAAATAATCTACGCTAATTACCAAGGTCAGCCAAAATTATTCTCTCCATATGTCTGCTGTCTGGAAAAATCTCCCTCTGAGAAAAAAAAAAAATGCATGGGCATGTATGTATGTGTGTGTGTGTGTGTGTCTGTGTTGTAGGGGACAAGGTAAAAACATGACTGACTGCCTTTGTCACATTATTTGAGGAAGGGAATGAGCCATGCATTAGTGAAGCTACTCCAACTCTGTGGCTGCCCAATGGATTTTGTGTTGATCGTGTGAAAATTACTTTTGAAGGATTGTTTTTCTCTTCACACCTGCAGCCTGTTCCATAGTCTTTTATGCAGACGAGGATGAACAGGTGTGCTACTGCTGCTTTAGGTATAAAAGAGGTGTAGTTAATTCAAATCGTCTGTCAATGTACCAAAAAGCACAAACACTTTCATGAAAACTCTTCTATGGAAATCCAATCTGATGACGAGAAATGCAGAACATGAATAATAAGGACAGTTTAAATCAGGACATGCCTTGTATTTTCTCAGTTTGAACCACTTTTCAAGAAAGAATAATTGTGTTTATTGATTTATGGCTAGGTGTATCAAGTATTAGCAGACAGACTAAATCACATAATCGCACACTAAAATGCTTAGAAATCCCTTTACTGTTAAAAACTGGCCTCCTCTTTCTTTTCTGCCAGCTGTTTGTAGCTTTTTTTTTTTTTTTTTTTAAATAATAAGATTAAGCATGTTTATTAATCTCTTTCGGCTAGTGTGTGAATGTAAAACAGCCCTCACTTTCTTTGACACTAGCAGCTAATAATCATTTTTTATTCCTCTACCTGAGCCTGAGAATGTACAATGCTCTTCAAAATGTACATTATGTCTATACAAGATCATTTCAAGTCATTATCACCTTTATAATGGAGATGGAGATGCTTTATGGTGTTGCAGGTATGCGGTGCTGCGACACAATTGTCTGAAGTGTTAATTGAGTTAGCGGTGCATGAAGTTGTTTTGTACTCACAGATCTGCTGCATCGGCAAATTCCACGGCTTCATAGTTCATGCATAATACATTTTGCAAATGTTTACATATGCTGCTTGTATACTGGTCACTTTTAAAGTAAATATTTGATGCCTTATTCACATAGATTATTCATACAGTAGCTTCTCAATCATTGGCTGACAAGACTAAGAGTGATATAAATCATGAAGCCAGAGAAATTAAATCTATACATGATTAGTTTCATTTCCAATCAGGGTCCAACATTAACTTGCAGCACCAGCCAACAGTGGGTAAATTAAGAAAATTCTGTGTTTATATGACCATTTTTTGTATAATATAGTATAATATAATAGAATAGAATAGAAACCATTTTGCAGTTCCTAATGAAGTTACAATTTTATTTACCTGTCAATTGGCGTTTGGTGAATGTTAATTTTGAACCCTGTTCCCAAAATATAGGCGTTCCACCCAAGGAAAATATGAGACAGAATTAATGTTACTAATTTAGAGTTGAATCAATGTATATAACACAAATAATATACTACATGTTTTCCAGAACTGTGAAGCACAAATGCATAATCTAATCAAAGGCAGACATGATCTATGTGTGTATTTTCATTGTTCCATGTACCAGTTCTAAAACTACATTATAGAAACTTTGCAAATTAATTGAACTATATTAAACAGCTTTTTTAAATCTCTCCAGGTGTTTAATGAAGATGTTGTTTAAAACAGTCCAACATGGTTATCTGCTCTTTTTTAATGTTCAGAGCAGCTGACCCTATTTATCTTCATTTAGCTCATTAGGCCAGTCTCCAGAGCATTATTGTCAAAAATATGAAGATGTTAAAGCAAACACAACCTGCCTTGTGCACAAGGCCAGTTTCTGTTTGCAAGCAAAGCACAGTTGGATTTTTTATTGTACATCATCGCAGACATTAAAAACCCACGGTTCCACCTCCAAGCCTCGGTGTAATTAAACATTTTAAATGCAACCCAAATTGCATTTCTTCCTGCCTTCAGTTCAGGGGTCACTTGTACCATTACTAGCTCTTTATGAACATTATCTTGCAGCCCTCACTAATTAGAGTGTTCTGCCTTATCTGCACATTAAAAAGACTGCATTGCAGTGCACCATCGTTTAGTAATTCAAACACTCAGCTCAGAGATTATCAGAGAAGCCTTCAACGGCTTATTAATGTGGCCAAACAAGCCTCTTTAATAAAGCGGTTTAATCCCTACTAAAGAGCAAAGTGGTACTCACGGTCACTGCAGAGGGGACCTCCGTATGTCGTCATGGTGCAGTCACAGGTAAACCCCTCCCACTGCTGCAGACACACTCCCTGATTGGAGCAGGAGTCCTCTGTGCAGGTTGTGCCAGGGCCGGCTGAAACCAATTATAATCACTATAAATCACACAGACTATCATCATGTCCACATTGAAAAGTGTCTAAGCTCAGAATCTCACAACGGTCACTAGTTGTGAGCAACAGCAAAATGGACAAACAACTTCGCAGTCAACTTTGTCAACACAAATCCACTGGATCAAAAACAGACCTACAAGTATAAGTATCATAGTATATATTAGGGATGCATAATGGACTACTTGCATAACCACTTCCGTGTTCTACTTTGTACAGTTAAGGAGTTTCCGGTCAGCGTTTAACGCACCTACATGCAGACAGTTTTTCATGAGAATGCGGATTATTACTATGTTTTAGGGCTGGCAATTTTTTTTTAAACAATTAATCATATTCTCTGCATTAACATTAATTATATTATGCATTAACATTCAATCTGCTGAATTGTTCCTAAATATATTTCCCTTCCAAATGTGCATTCTGAATAATACATAAATATATTTCCCTGCTAACCCGCCGAGGTCCAGCGCCTGTCTTCTCATTAACAGTATTTTTCTCTTACGGATCATATTTCATACCAGTTGAATTTACGGTTTTAAATGGATTTGGCTGATAAGCACCCTTACGTTTTACTATAGTAAAAGTGTAGTAACCAAGTTTTTTTGCAGATTACCATTTGTATAACCTCAATTTTACAACAAATACCATGGTTAAACTATGGGGGGGGGGGGGGCCCACGTCGATTTTTAAAGAAAAACATGGGCTATTT